GGCAGCCTTAATTCCAGCGTCAGATTACTTTATAAGTGTAATATCATAAATGCCTAAATATGTAATATAATGTCTTAAGGTTTATAAGTTATGTTTCTCTTGACAGAAGAAGAGATTTATTACCTCCTTATTTTATAAATAGTAATATTATGAGTGTGATGTTAATTCCCCTGCTATGTGACCACTTTTTCAATACATTTATAAAAATGTAGGAAAACCAACTTTACTGCTTTAATTCTGGCCCTTAAATGATCCAGTATCATCTCATCATTGCTTACTAAAAGCTTTTAGATTAATAGCCCGTCTTTTTTTCAGCCAGATAGTATATTCTTTAATGAAATGCTACATAGATAAATGAATAGTCTGATGAATAATGTAGATGTCGAAAGCTATAGCTCATTAGTGACACTAACTTAGCCAGTCTCCCGTCTTACTTTCTGTCCCCAAGTGCCAGAGAGTTGGAGCTGGAGGACAGACAGAGCCGACTGCAGCAGGAACTCAGGGAACGGATGGCCGTGGAAGGTGAATGCTCAAATGCAAATTAGCTGACGGGCTCTACAAATGAGCTCCCAGCGTTCATATCTGCATAATGTCTCTTTGTTTTCAAATTTGCACGGGCTTCTTTCAGACCACCTGAAATCTGAGAAGGAACTAGCTGAGGAGAAGCAGATCCTGAATGAGATGTTGGAAGTGGTGGAGCAACGAGATGCCTTGGTCGCCCTCCTGGAGGAGCAGAGACTTCGAGAGAAGGAGGAAGACAAGGACCTGGAGGCTGTTATGCTCTCGAAAGGCTTTAACCTCAACTGGGCTTGATGCGAGGGAAATCATTTCACGTCAAGTTTTCGACCGCTCGTAGGCGGTCTCGGTCTCACGTGGGCGTCTTTGATGTGGAGATATCTGCTGAACTTTGACACAGGCTTTTGGCCTAAAACTGTCACACCTAGAGCAGCGAATGTGTGAAGAACCCCAACAACATGATATGTACACGACGGCTGCCTGTGATGTTGGAGCAGTCTGCAGCGTTTACATATCCTCTGCCCGAAGGCAGTACATGTTAATCACTTTGCAGTTATGTTTGCTGTCTCGGTCTGTGGGTGGAGACGTGGTGTGTATATTCACAACTTTAACATCTCAACCTTGAAAATTGTGGCGGGGGGTTAGGAGAGCGTTTAAAGACTTTGTTATCGACTATTTAAAGGGAAGAATGCAGTTTGGTCCTGCTGATGTACAGGAGTTGTAAAAACAAAAATTAGGGGGGGAGGGGTGTAATCGAGTCCCATTATCAGTAGATGAGGGTCCTCGTCTTAGTGCTGCAGAGGTGTGTTTTAAATGTCAGAGCAAGGTCTCCTAGCTCGCTCTTTTCAGTCCGACTGTAGAACGGACTCTGCTGAAGCTGCCTTTTTTCTCCCTAGTGACAAACTCACATCAGCATCCTTCAGAAACCACAAATACATCATAAAATGCTCCAGGGTTGTTGTTGTTGTTTTCTTTCCTTTTCCCCTGCAGAGTCTGTCACCACTATGAATCCATTAAATATGTCCACGTTTATGTATTTATTATCATGTTTTGCTTTTAACAGTTAAAAAAAATGGTTTTCATTTTATTTGTATTCACAGGAGAGTGCCCAGAATCTCATTATCTCGCATATCTCTCTTGTATCTCGCATACATGCCACTGCATGTCAGGAATTATGGCTTCAGGCACATAGAAGACTTGGATGCAAATATTTAAGCATTTCACATGAGTTGATGATGATGACGGGCCTCTCTGTGAGCTCTCATTGGCTGCGTATCACACTGACCGTTAACGTTTACAAGTATTTGTTCACATTTTGGTTCCTGCTTTGCTAAACAGTAGAAACAATCCTCGGGATAGACTGTATTAACAATGGGATGTTACTAACGACCTGATGTTACTGTTGTTAGTATGGGAGGACTTTCTGTGGGGAAGAGAGAACACTACACAACTATATACTGCAGTGTTAATACTTTAGCTTTGAAAAAGATGCCTTTTCATTTCCATTCTATAAACTTAAGTTATTTTTTTTGTTGTTTAGATTTTTTTTTGAGGTATCCAATAATCACATCTGTGTTTTCCACTGGAGCTCTTTTTTTAAAACAACACTTTTCTACAGCAGGTCCCCAAACTACACATAAATGGGACCCTAAAGAACTGCACAAGCTACATTGAATGAGAATATTGGTTTGGTTTATCCGTTGGACATCCTTGGTGGACTCGTAGGCCTCTTTGCCAACTGTACAAATCCAGGTGGGCACTGTTTTACAGTGTAGAAATGTCAGAGGCTATATTTATGACTTGTTTGGAGCTGTGAATATTACACAATTTTATGGGTTGTCGTTTTAGATTGTGTGTTCCAAGGTTGACATGATTGTATTGATATTTATTAACCTGTGCAAATTGTATCATATGTAAAGAAAGCGAATCCTAATTTTTAAACTACTCTGTCGACAAACGACTTGTAATGTAAATGCTTCATGTAGCTAAAATTCATAGGGGTGTTGGATGTATGCTGAAAACGGCAATAAACGATGCAGTTCTTTTACGTGTTTGTCCTCTAAAAGCAAACTTTTTAATTGAATGTCTTATCGTTATGAGCAAGAGATTATTATTTTTAAACCTTTCTTTCCACCTTAGCCAGCCTGAGATGTTACTGTGACTTTTTCTCTGCTTTCATTACAAGCCCAGGCTTAATAAAGGATTAGCTGAGGCTTTCTACCAAGAACACAAAGTGCAGTAGCAGAAAGGAATTAATTCCTAAATGCAAATAGGCGGCTATATAATATATGGTGGGACTGCATAGATTTAAAGAAGTAGTAGAATCCTGTTCATATAGTATTATCTGTGCTTTTCCTGTATATTTCGAAACGCATTTAACTTAAATCTTAACTTCTACCTGCCTTTTAACTTGCCAAAGAAGATGTAGCGGGCACTGTGATGGAACCCAGGCATCTTAAAATTACCTGATATTTTATTGCTGCACTTCCATGAAATTGGGGGACTTGCATGAGGGAGAATAAAGAGGGTGGGGGCTGAAATGTAATCTTCTCGGCAGAGGTGGGGAAAATAGATTTTTAGTGCCTTGGTGTCAGACATCAAAAACCCAGAATTATACATTTAATACGTTTGATGCCCCCTGCCTGTTGAATGGTCCTGTCATCTGTGAAAAATTAAATTTTTTCAAGCAAAAGCCAAGATAAATCCTACAACATTATTAAGACTCCCTGTCTGATAATTCTTGTAGTCACCGAGGATAGTTTCTCCTCCATAACCGATAAAGGCAGCAGGTTCTTTAAGTGAAGCAAACGGAATGTGGGGAAAATGTTTTTAACATTAAATAATCTTGTGGACTCGTAAATAGCAGGTCAGTTAACAAAATAAAGCGCATGCTTTCTGAAAACATTACCGACGTAGACTTTCTAAACGCTACTCGTGCACTTATTTTGAAAGAGTGTCAACGGGGGGCAAACTTCCGGCCTGTTTTTCTTGTTCGTTTTTTCTTTTTTTCTTTTTTATTGACCGAGAAATTGACCCACCAGCAGTTTTTTCGTGTCGGTGAAGAAGCTGAAAATTTAGAAATGACTTCCTCAAGCTTCAGGGACTGTCAGGTCAGTGACTCGGCGAGAGAAAGAAACTTTAAAGAAGGATGAAGAACAGAAAGCGACACTTTCTCTTAATTTGTTGCAATAACTAAGTGGCGGTAAGGATTGAGAAACACAGTTTGTATTATTGAGATATGTATATTTAAAGTGAAAAAAGGACAAAACTGTTAGTTTACAGAAAAATATTCATGCAGGCGCATAAAGCAGGCAAACCTCGATAAGTATCCAGAACTTTTACAATTACAAGTAGATTTATTTAAGCTCTGGGTAACACTGGAATGCAATTGGCTGCCTTTACTCGATGAATCTTTAACCTCAGGTTGCTCAATCCAACGAGACAACAGCATGTTTGTCATACAAACGGCTTAGACACTGAAACCCAGCATTAACGTCTGCACCGCTATGTTCCCGTTTCTTGCAGGCGTGGAGGGCGGAGGGGCTTACATTGTCCACCAGCAGTAATGAGGCTTGTAAAATGTATGACGCCATACTCACGCAGGTAGCGTACCTGCTCCACATGCACACGCAGTTTGCACACCGTGGGTGTTTCGGGCTGTTTAAGATCTAAATTGTGTTTTAACCCCCCCAGTATGTGAAATGGAGGAACGATGACAGCTTGGGAGGAATTGAAGGATGCATTTCTGCTGTCCAGGCAGCTGACCCACATTTTGGTAACTATATGTGGGGTTAACTATGCTCGATTTGTTATTGTATACAAGTTCTGATAAATAAGAAAAACAACAAAATAAGACTAAAGAAAACCCTGAGATGATTAGTTTATACGCTGCAAGGAAAAACAATTAAATGTGGCTACTGCTCTTTAAATAAACATGTTGAAGGTCAGTCACTTCAGATTATTTCAGTGTTAGGTGTAGCTGGGAGGCGTCAGGCGTCAGCTGTCAGTTTGAGCTCTGATCAAGCATTTAGTTGTTGTTCATGCAAATGACTCTACCCTCCTTTGTGCAAGTTCAACACTTATTGATTCTCCGCAGAACTTGCAAGCTGCTTTTTAGTTTAGCTGCTGTAAACACACAAATTGATTGATCCTAATGTGTGGTTGCATAAGAAAAACAGTTTGAGGTCTTCTAAGTTTAACATTGCTGACAATACTAAATAAATGATAAACAAAAGGTGTGTGCAGTTGGGTAAATTAATAACAAGTACAATTATTTTTGCTGGCATCCTGGTTCAAACTGAATCTTGGACAAAAAAAGGAAGCATTGAGTTCATTAATTAAGCACATTCATTAATTATGTGGACACAATAGACACCCTTTAAAATGCTGGCTGCTTGCACTCATTCATATCGGGGGCATACAGTGGAGATAAACTCCTCTTATTCTTCATCTCATGTTGCAAATAAACAGAAATGGAACCAAGAAGCTCCTGTAATATTTCACTTAAGTCCAAAGGCAAAACTTTACAAGTGCATGTGATTCTTTCCGCATGAGAACTGCAGCTGTGGAAACCTCCAGCTGTTATTTGTTTTTCTTGTAGTTATGGGGCATGTGATAAGTACAGGCCTGGAGCTTGTGGCGACAACAAGCTCCACCAGGCTGGATGAGCGTCTGTCGAGTGCTGTGAGGAGGACGGTGGAACTCGCCAACAGCCAGGACATCACTTCCAGAGAGAGACTCCACGTCAAAGCCATGGAGCTCTTCTCACA